CATATGGTGCCAGAGATTAACCCTCGGCCCCTTGTGTGCAAAGCCAGTGGTGCTGCCCACTGAGCTCTCTCCCTACTTCTATACTAACTTCGAAGCAGACAGCCCACCGCTCCCAACATGCTGCTCCCCTAAAAAGAAATGTGCTGGTGTGTGCCGTCCATATGGTGGCCACTGCCTGGGGGTGTGTAAGCATGTGACAAGATCATTAAGAAAAATATGCGTCTAGGGAGGTGCGGGGGGAGGTGATGAAGAGCTACGACAGGGGTTACAACTGGCCTGCACCCCACACACCTCAGTTTGAACACCCAGCACCACATATGGTCCACCAGGCACAGGGGAGAAACAGCCCCTGAGCACCACCGGGTGTGGCCCCCAAACCTTAAAAACATCCCACAATAACCCCAAACACTTGCGAAACTCATCAGCCCAGGGATTAGCACAGGGCTTGATTCTTAGATCTATATGGCATCCGGAGCATTGCTGGGTACATCCAGCAAGCAACCAATACTGCTGGTACGGCCCTCTGGGCCCTAGCACTGACCACTACTAGCCTGGTGGGCCAATAATCAGAGTGGCCCCTAGGCCCCCCAGCACAGGAGGCCCGCACCCCCAACCACCAAAAATTGTAAAAATACAAAGTCTTACCAGCCCACATATGGCGTTAGTCAATTTATTGAATCTTTTGCTTCTGAATTTACTTGTAGAATCATCTGATAAAGAATAAATGTCTGGATCTAGAAACCTTTAAACATGAGAGACTGGTGAATGAAAGAATCCTAAACACTAAATTTGTAGACTGACAATCGAAGTGAAACAAAAAAGTTTCAGCACTGGAAATGTGACATTAATTATTGTGAACTTACTTCTCAATTTCCTTTGTAGCTCTTTTACTCAGCAGGTCCATTTTTGTCATGATGTTAACTTGCGGGATTTCTAGAGATACCATAGCATTCAAGGCTGCCAAGATGCCAGAAATAAACTGAAAGAGGACGCAGAAAAGGGACGATGAATCAGTTGTCACCAACAGTGTCCACATAAAAGGTTTCTGATCCCCACTGGAACAAAACCCACGTAAATAGGAGAAACGCCAAGATTGGAGCCCAAGCAAGAGTCTAGGCTTTAAGGCACTTGCCTTGCGCCTGGTCAGCCCAGGTTCTAGCCCAGCACTCCACAGGGATCCCAGAGCACTACCTAAGTGATTCCTCAGCACAGCGCCAGTAGTGAGCCCTGAGCACTGCCAGGCATGGCCGAACAGAAGACTGCTGGGCCAATAGCTGACCTTAGGATTCTAAAGGTGAGATGGGAAGGAGAAACTCGAGGTGTAGTGACCACACTTCTCCATTCCACAATATTTTAAAGTGTTCAGGAGGTAGGTGGGGTTGAGTTCAGTACTGAGGAAACATGTAGTGACAGAGATTAAAAGCAGGTGGGCCACATCAAGGCGAGCTCCTTAAGCCCTTTACTATTTTTTTTTGAGAAGGGAAGGGTGGTAATACCTGGCACTGCACAGGGCTTACTCCTGGCTCTGCACTCAGGAATTACTCCTAGTGGTGCTCAGGGATGCTAGGAATCGAACCCGGATTGGCTGTGTGCAAGGCCCTACCGGCTGTACTATCACTCCAGCCCCCAGTTTTAAAATTTACGTATTTATTTATTTTTGGGAAGCGCTGTACTATTTCTGACCCTTTAACATTATCTTCTCTCATGCTCCCCCTCCACCTCCCCTGATGGGTATTTCCTTTTGGGTTTCTGGGTCACAAAATCCCCTGATATAACTAGTGGGTCACTTCGGCTTCTGCACTAAGGAGTTACTCCTGACCAGCTTTGGGAACCATATGGGTGCTGGAGATGGAACCAAACGCCCTCCCTTTCAGTTTTGGGGAATACCCAGTAGTGCTCCGAGCTTTGTGGTCAAGGATCACTCCTGGAGGGGCCCGGGGGCCCGGTGGCAGTATGGCAGGAATGACACCCAGGCTGGCCACATGCAAGGCAAGAGCTCTACCCACTGTACTATCTCTCAGGCATCCAGCTTTTTATTTTTCTTGTTTTGGAGCCACACACAGTGGTGCTTGGGACTTACTTCTGACACCACTAGGACAACTCCTGAAGGCGACAGCTGAGAGTTGGGGACCACTAGAACTGCACAAGGGGCAAACTCAGGGCCTCGAACATGCCAGCTCTGTGCTCTGCCACTGGAGCCATCTTCTTGGCATATTAATTTAACAACTATAAGTTCTAAGTCACTCCTGGGTATAGTTCAGGAACTGGTAACAATTAAACGATTATGACTAAAGGTTTTTGTACTCTGCTTGTGCCGGAGACTGAAAAATCAAGGACAGGTATAGTTTCAAACCTTGAAGGACTCCACCATGAATTGAGAATCAACAAGAAACACTCCACAGACTCGGAACTCCCACTGTTCCAGCTGCTGAACCAGCTGTTTCATCACGGGCAGGTGTGTGTACAACTCGATCTGACCGACAAGAACACAAGCTTATTATAAACATAAAATACATTCAACCCTCAATTATGGGAAAAAACTTTTCCCAGAAACTGTCTTTGGGGGCTTGAGAGATAGCATAGAGGGTGGGAACTTGCCTTGCACACAGCCAGCCTGGGTTCGATCCCATAGGGTCCCTTGAGCACAGCCAGGAGTAATTCCTGAGCACAGGAGCTAGGAGTAACCCCTGAGCATCATCAGATACGGCACCCGCGGTGCCCCCCAAAATTTTTAAAGGAAGTCAATCCCCAGAAGTAATATATTCAATTTTGCTTGTTTTAAGCCGCACGTGGGGATGCTTGAGAGTCTCCCCGAAACTGCTGGGAGGGCTCGAGGCTACTCAGAGTCCTACATGCAAAGCCTACTACATGCAAGGCCCACTACATGTAAAGCATGTCCCCAGCCCACTATCTCTCTAGCCCCTAAACTATATTCAATTTTTGTTTGTTTTTTGTTTGGGGGACAACGTGGTAGTGCTCAGGGCTTATTCCTGATTCTGTGCTCAGGGATGACTCTTTGAAGGCTCCAGGAACCATATAGGATAGCAGGGATCACCTTAGCAGTGTGCAAGGAAAGTGCCCTACACACTGTAGTATCTCTCTGGCTCCCCCAATATTTTTTTTGTCATTTTGGGTCACACCTGGTGATGCTCAGGCGTTACTCCTGCCTCTGTACTCAGAAATTACTACTGACAGTGCTCGGGGGACCATATGATATGCTGGGGTTCCGGGTCAGCCGAATGCAAGGCAAACGCCAAACCAGTTGTTCTATCACACCCGCTCCCCTGGCACCCCCAATAAATTTTTAAGCAACTCTGGGTGTACATCTATGTAAAGGGGGCATACAAAGAAAATATACAGTCATCATCATCATCACTGTCCTCCTGTTCATCGATTTGCTCGAGCAGGCCCAGTAACATATCCATTGTGACAATTGTTACTGTATTTGGCATATTGAAAATGTCACGGGGAGCTTGCCAGGCTCTGCTCTGCAGGCGAGATACTCTTCGGTAGCCTGCCGGGCTCTCCAAGAGGGGCAAAGGAATCAAACTCCAGTCGGCCATGTTGGCCGGTTGCACGAAAATTATTAAAAATGATTTTAAAATGGGCTGCAGTAATAGCACAGTGCTAGGGCATTTGCCATGCTCGCAGCCGGCACAGCCAAACCGGGTTCAACTCCTCTGCCCCTCTCGGATAGCACAGCAAGCTACCGAGAGTATATTGCCCACATGGCAAAGCCTGTCAAGCTACCTGTGACATATTTGATATGACAAACACTGTATCAACAAGTCTCACGATGGAAAAGTTACTGGGCCTGCTCAAGCAAATCAATGAACAACGGGAGAACAGTCACAGAGATTTCATTTATTAATTTATTATTATTATTATTATTATTTGCATTTTGGGTCACACCCAGAGATGCTCAGGGGTTACTCCTGGCTCTGCACTCAGGAACCACTCCTGGCGGTGCTCAGGGGACCATATGGGATGCTGGGATTCGAACCTGGGTCGGGTATGTGCAAGGCAAACGCCCAACCTGCTGTGCTATCACATTGATCCAGCCCCGACAATGACAGATTTTAAAACAAATTTTTATTCTCTTAGTGTGAGGGGAGGAAGTTTGGGTCACACCCACTGGTATTCTGGGAGGATTCCTGACTCTGTACTAAAAATAACTCCTGGCAGTGCTTGGGGGATCCTATCTGGAACCAGGGATCCAAACTTGGGCTGGCAGAAAGCAAGGCAAGGGCTTTAGCTGGTGTACTATGGCCCTAAAAAACAAACAAAAAAATCTTGTTTTTGGCCCATACCCACTAGTATTCAGTGAACCATATATGGTGCCAAGGACTGAACCTGTGTCTACCGCAGCATCCTACCCATCCTTCTGTCTCTCTAGCTCTAAAGCAAACGTTTCAAGAGTTGCATGACCGAAGCTGGAGTGATAGCACAGCAGGTAGGGCGTTTGCCTTGCACACAGCCGACCTGAGTTCGATTCCCAGCATCCCATATGGTCCCCTGAGCACTGCCAGGAGTGATTCCTGAGTGCAAAGCCAGGAGTAATTCCTGAGCATCACCAGGTGTGACCCGTAAAACAAACAAAAAAAAAGCTGCATGACCTGGGACCCAAGAAACAAGAGACTGAGCATATGCTCTGCATGCAGAAAGCCTGGGCTCAGTTCCCAGCATGCTTTGGTTCCCCAAGCAGGGCTGGGAGCAACCCCCTGATAACAGTTAGGAAGAGCCCCAGCCTCTAGCACCTCTGCATGTGGCCCCCAAACAGAAGAAAACAGACATTCCACAGCCCCTCATGGGATGACAGTCCACTGTCCAAGAATCTGAGGTAAAAGTAAATGAGATGCTAATTTCACTTTCTCCCACCAAGGACAGACCTGCACAACCCAGGGAAGGTGACAATCTAATTACTGAGCTACCTGGACAGTCAAAAAGGATGCAGTCATCCTCGACATGGCCAAGGCAGTTCTCCAGCCACTCAAAGTTACTGGCGAAGTACTCCATGCAAAACACCAGTCCTCCATTGGGACCGAAGCGCAGGAACCGTCCTCCATCACATCATCCACCTCGATCAGTTCCCGGATGTCTGCAAAGAATATACAGGAAAGGAGTGCCCATTCCAAAATATTTACATTCTTTAGTAATTACAACTGTGACAGTATCCACAGAAACTGAACAGGGGCTAGAAAGAAAAAACAAAAAACAAAAACAAAAAGACACCAAACAGGGGCCAGAGGAATAGAACAGTGGGTAAGGCGCTTGCCTTGCATGTGGACAACCCACGTTCAATCCTTGGCACCTCATATAGTTCCTCACCTTCACCAGGAGTGATCCTGGAGCACAGAGCCAGACGGGCTGAACACAGCTGGGAGTGGCCCAAACCAGACCCCACCCATAAAGAAAAGAAAAAAAATAAAACAAATAAATATAGTACAAAGAAGTTCAGCCAATGAACTTTGCAAATGAGAATAGGGTCTGGAGCGTAGCACAGCGGGTAGGGTGTTTGCCTTGCACTCAGCTGACCCGGGTTCGATTCCCAGCATTCCATATGGTCCCCCGAGCACCGCCAGGAGTAATTCCTGAGTGCAGAGCCAGGAGTAACCCCTGTGCAGTGCCAGGTATGACCCCAAAACAAAGGCTGTGGAACTAAAGGGGCCCTTGAGCGGGGACACGGAGAGTCCAGAGCGCAGGACACTCCCCTCATACAAGGCTGCCTCACTTTCAATCCCTGGACCATCCTGGAAGCCTGCCAGGGGTGATCCCTGAGCACAGAGCCAGGAGTCAGCCCTGAGCACCACCGGATGTGACCCCAAAAGCAAAAAATGCAGGAGCTCATACTCCAAAATTGCTGTACCACATATGACAGAGTTCATAGTAGCAGGCAACCAATCTTAGAGGGAAATATATATATATTTTTTACAGATATATATATATATAAAACACACAAGGCTCAACCTTTTACAAGATGTTAGTGATCTCTTATAGAAGGGCTTAATGGTCCCTGGGTGGAATACATACTCTTTCCTCTAAGGATACTTTTTTTATAGCATTTTTAGCGATTATTATTTTTTTTTTTTTGGCTTTTGGGTCATACATGTTCATGCACAGGAATTACTCCTGGCTCTGCACTCAGGAATTACCCCTGGCTAATGGTGCTCAGGGGACCATATGGGATGCTGGGAATCGAACCCACTTTCGCCGTGTGCCAGGCAAACGTGCTACCCACTGTGCTATTGCTCCAGCGCCCTGGCAGTTTTTCATATCAAATAATGCAACAGAATAGATTCTTTGAGTTCTGCTTTGGGACAGGGATTAGGGTTTGGGATGGAACTATGCGAAATATGGTGGTGAGAAGGTGTAATGGTGGTGGGATTGGAGTCTGAATATTGAATGTAATCAAATATTGTAAAACACTTAATAAAATAAAAAAATTGAAGGGTTGGAGCGATATGACAGCGGGCAGGGCGTTTACCTTGCAAGTGGCCGGCCAAGTTCGATTCCTAGCATCCCTATGGTCCTCTGAGCACCACCAGGAGAAATTCCTGAGTGCATAGCCCAGAGGAACCCCTGGGCATCACCGGTTGTGACCCAAAAAGCAAAAAAAAAAATATAATACTAATAATAATTTTTAAAAATGAGGATGGAATAAGTTATTGCACAATAAACACTCTCCGCTCTTCCCCCATAGCCCTGGCCGCCCAGCCCCCCACCTACTCCCATTTTCTTTTCTTTTCTTAAATTTAATTTCATTTTTTAAATTTATTTTTTAAATTTTTCCATTTTAAATTTGTTTTCTTAAATTTTTTACTTTTTAATGAATCACCGATACTCACCTGAATATTTCACCAAGCTCCCGGGAGAGAACAAGGCAGATTCTCCTACCCCGTGCTTGACTGTCCACACCAGGGCCCAGCAGCTGAAGACCTCAGGCACCAGGCCAAACTCATGCTGAGACCACTCTCCACACGCTTGGATGAGCCTCACGCATTTTGAAGGTGAAATTGCAATGAATTTAAATAAATTTGTATGTAAGAAAGTAGCAATGATGGTCACAGCTGCTATTGGATAATTTTTATTGATTTCGGGGAGCAAAAGGTATTGTAACATTCATTTTTTTCAAAGGAAAAATATCTGGGAAAATTAAGTAAGATCATTATCTTACCTTTATCTTTTAGTTTTCCTACACTGAAAATTATTTCTACAATTAAAACACTAAAAGTCACTTGATCACTTCATCACTTGATACCCCGTTACTCATCCATTACTGGAGTGGGTGTCAGTAACGTTTCCATTCAGCCCTGTTGCATGCTAGCGTAGCCCAATGGCATCTGCTCATTCTAGGAATATGCATAAAGGAACTGGCAGAGGAACTCAGGTGCGCAGGACGCGGGGCTGAGATCTCCAAGCCTGCACGGTTTGGGACTGGACCTTCCAGGAGCTAGAAAGTTACACCCATCAACTGCCGTGTAACCCCAACAACTGCCAGGATCCAGTGATTACCACTCCAAGCTCCCAGGAGCGTGGGGCCACATTTGCATTTGCGGCCAGGCGACCTTATATTTATGTTTATTTATTTTTTCAGACTACCTTAAATATCCCACCCACATGGCAGAGCCTGACAAACTATCCGTGGTATATTCGATATGCCAAATCCAGTAAAAAAAACGAATTGGATCTCATTCCCCTTACCCTGAATATGGAAGAGTCGAGAAGGATGTGGAAGGAGAGGCTGACAAAATCTCAAGGCAGAACTAGGCTGCCAAAACGAAGAAAGACAAAAATGATTGTCTGTAATTTCAATGCACGTATGCCAGCATCGGATATATCCATCGAGGACCTGATGGTACAAGCGTGAAAGATCAAGTAGAACATCATTGTTCTGACCGAAAAGAGAAGGCATCAATCACACCATGCCATTTTTGAAACTGGAGAAGAACTGTTCCTTGGAACATGTGACAAAAGAGGCATCAGTGGTGTCGATATCCTTGTCAAGGCGAACTTGGCCATGAGCATTGATTCATTCCAATGCCTAACAACCCGAATTGCATGATTACACTTGAATAGACGTGGATCACTGCCAGCAGTTTCTATCTTTGTTGTGTATGTACCAACATCCTGTTATGGTGAAGGAGAAATGGAGAAGTTCTACATGCAGCTGGAGAAGTTCTATAAAGAAGACCACACCTTCTACAAGATCATTGTTGGTGATTTTAGTGCCAAGATAGAACCAAGAAGATCAGCCGATGAACTACACTTTGGGACCCATGGCCTAGAATGGAATGAACAGGGTGACAGACTGTCTGAGTTCATCATGTCAACCAAGACCATCCATGGTAACTCACAATTCCAAAAGGCTGAATCTAAACGTTGGACATGGGAGTCTCCTGGTGGACGGTTCCACAGCAAAATTGACCACATCATATTCAATGGACGATTTTGCCTAACCGATGTTGCTGTTGTCGCAAAATTCCAAATGGGATCGGACCACCATCTCCCTCGTGCAAAATTCTACCTCACAGAACAGGGAGAAAAGAATGCAAAGTTTAAGAAGAGAACTCCCAGAACGACCACCAACTGGGAGCTCTTTGGATCTGTTGTGGCAACATGGGAAGATGCCATCATTGACAACAATGATGAGGCATACGATCAAATGATTCAGCACCTCCAGGATTGTGCGAGGAATACCAAGAGAGAGATAACCACAAAAAACCACCTTCATTTGAACACTCTTGAACTTATTCGCCAACGTGGCTTGGCACATGCCTCAGGCAACGGCAAGCAAATGTCTGAGCTGTCAAAACAGTGCAGAGAAGAGATCAAGGATGACCTCAAAGACAGGAGAACAGCAGTGCTGGTAGATGTGGCAGAAGCCAGGAAAAGCATTTGTAATGCCCGCTGTCCTTCACCAACTACAAGACCAAGATGACTGCCCTCCGACATCCTGATGGATCTATCACATCTTCCACAAGGGCAATGGAGATTATTCATGACTTCTACTCAGACCTCTTTAATAGCCACATCCACTTGCCCACATACCAAATTCTGCATGATGGATATGTCGTTCCCAATGTTCTCCCTTCCGAAATTCAACATGCCATCTCTTCGGTAAAGAAACAAAGAGCACCTCGCCCAGACAAGATCAGACCTGAGCACCTGAAGAACCTGCCGTCAGTACTCATCAATCCACTGGCTCAGCTCTTCACATATTACCTGTCTGAATGCAAGGTTCCATCCCAGTGGAAAACCAGCAAGACCGTACTACTATGAAATAAGGGAGACATCCACAACATTGGCAACTATCGCCCAATCTGCCTATTGTCTGTCATCTACAAACTGTTCACTCAAGTCATCCAGAATAGGATTGGCAGAACACTAGATGAAGGACAACTATGTGAACAAGCCGGGTCCCAAAAAGGATTCAGCAGCATCGACCATATCCACACGATAACTAAGCTCCTTGAGGTTTCTCAGGAGTTCAACGTGCCGCTCTGTCTGGCGTTCATTGATTTAAAGTAGGCTTTTGATTCTGTTGAGAAGGAAGCAGTCATTGAAGCCCTAGTCAATCAGGGCATAGAAATTCAATACATCATGATCCTCCATGAGCTCTATTATGGATTCACTACCAGGATCTCTCCATTCTACAAAGAAGTAATCGTCCATGTCAAGAGAGGGGTTCGGCAGGGTGATACCATTTCACCAAAACTCTTCAGTACCACCCTCGAGAACATCATGCGACAACTGGAATGGGAAGGAATGGGTGTGAAGATAGATGGTTGGCAACTACACCACCTCCGCTTTGCTGATAACCTCATTCTAATAACACCAAACATCAGCCAAGTGGCACAAATGCTGACCGACTTGGACCGTGAGTGTGGAAAGGTCGGATTGCAACAGAATCTCACAAAGACAATGTTCGTGAGAAACAGTCTTGTTCCTGATCATCCATTCACTCTCAACAAAACCACCATCTCCGAATGCAACAGTTATATATACCGAGGTCGAGAAATCAACAAGATGAATGACCTGGCACCTGAGTTATGCAGGAGGAAGAGAGTGGCTTGGAATGCCTTCAAGAGAATTGAAGAA